TCAACCTTAGATTCAGTTTGGTTATTTGGGATGCTGATTCAGAAAACTGAATTGGATAGAACACATCAGCTCTAGTTTCTGATGCAGAACATATGCCATCCAGTAGTCGCTATCTGCTTGCCCACAGAAAACCATATTTAATAAGCCTCAGCATTATAAGAGGGTTTTGTGGCCACGGACCATATTTTAGTTCTTCCAGACCACTGGTGATCCACAGACCACAGGTTGGGAACCATTAACTTAAAAAGAAAAGCTAGGAAAATCAAAACAAATGGAAAGGGAGTTTATTTGGAAACTGTATTAAACCCCAAGCACAACTATCAAATATGATTTTCAGTAAAAGTTCAACATGGTGGCACTATGGATTAAGCAAAGAATGGTATGTCCTCGTGTGGTGGGAATGTTTGGACCCAAAGGCAAAAACATTTTGGGAACAAATAACAATAAAAATTGGAGAAATTACTGAAAACACCACTTCAAGTAAATATGTACCTAATGTTGATGGGAATATTAGGAAACAATAAGATCAATGTAAAATATCAATATTTATTCAAAGCAATGTTTCTTGCAGGAAAGGCCGTAATAGCTTGGGGTTGGAAAGATGAAAAAAACAAATATAGTCAATTGGAACCATTACTTGTTTTATCAAGTCCAGTCAGAAATTGTAGCAAGTGTTATTTATAAGGATAAGAAGGAAGATAAAATGAGAAAAATTAAAGAGAATTGCTCGATACATATGGAATTGATAAAAAGAGGCAAAGCCAATGTAAATATTGCACAGAGATGGGAAAAGCTGAGCTCATGGATGAAGCTAGAGTTCTCATGGCAATTGTGGTATTAGTATGTGGTGGGAAGAGGTATGGTGGGAGGTAGAAAACAAAAATAAAAGAGTGAACAGAACTAAGAAATAATAGATAAATGAGTGGATAATATAGAGTGGAGGAAGAGTGAGAAACAAGAAGAGGGCGGAGAAGTAGGTTTATAGATAAATGATGTGCATGGATTAAATGTACAAAATCTACTCATATAGCAAAATATAATATTAATAAAATATTTTAAATAAAAATAAATAAATATACATTGCAAATTTGTAGAAAAAGCTAGAGTTTGCCTTTTTTTGTTAGAGGAATATTCTGACATTTGTATCACACAGGAATTTCCAAGCCAGCTGTAATGGAAAGGTTTCCAAGCCAAAGCCTGCACGGCCAAGCTGAAACTTGGCAGGTGTGTTCTTCATTTTGTGATGTGAATCATCACAGGACCAAAAGGCAACAGTCCCATGAATTTGGTTTAGTATTTGGATTGCCATCACCAAGATCTTTGATAGTTTTGGGTTTTTCTCTCTTCTGAACACTTATGGAAACTGAAAGCATGGCAAAATGAATGAGTGAACAACCTGCTTCTGGAAGTACTGATAATTTCAATATTAAACATTCCTACTTCCTCATTGCTGCACTTTCCATTTTATTCTCTGATGGTTTATCAGTGGGGTGGAAATCTTGGATTAATATGTTCTCAACTAAAGAATGAAACTTTTCAAAACTTTTATCTCTTATGGATGGGTGTAACGTATTGCCTACTTTGCGAAGCTAGTGTGTCAGGGATGGCTGTACAAGGTTCATTTTTTTTAAAGGTCAAAAGCTAGGCATCCATTTTGTGAGCACAGAGCTGAGCAGTTGGAGCCAGCAAGCAGCCTTTAGGGCATGTAGCACCACCTGATGGGTCAATAGCTCTGGAGGGAGTCTTCTCAGTGAAGAAAGTGGGTGGAGCTAAGCTGAGACAAGGAGGAAAGGAAGTATTTTAAGTCAGCCTGGTTTTTGGAGTTAGGGTTAGAAGTGTTATGTTAGGAGGAGTGTAGTGGTGTGTCTTAGGTGAAGACAGAAATCCTCTTTGAGGAAGTGTTTTAAAATGAGAACCAGTCTTCATGAAGAAGAGCTAGGTTTCTAAGGTAACAGCTTCTGAGAGACAGAGTGCTGGGTTTTGGGTTTCTCTAGATGGGGAAGGCCCAGGGACAGTCAAACTGTCAAGATTAGAATTGTGACTTAGAGGCTCCACAGTTTTTCTTCAATATAGGATGTGACAACATCATGGTTCCAGGAGGAGGACTCCAGGAAAAGTTTTATTCAGGTGAACTGCATGGGTATAAATAGAGTGGGGTGCGGTAGGTAAATTGGTTTATCCTGAACTTATATTACCAGGGAGTTGGTAAGTGGTTTCCATTGAAAAGGTATCTCATCAATACTGTTTTCATGGAAAAGGATTTAGTTTTTTAAATCTATGTAAGCAGCTAAACTCACATAGGCTTAGATAAGATCTATTGTGTGTATTAAAATGTATGTGCAGGAGCATTTTTATTAAAAAGTCTTTTGCAAATTGTTCTGTTTCTAGGCTTGATGTGCCCAGGTAAACTGTGTAAGTATTTAAATAACCTAGTGTTATTTAGAATGTATTTTGTGGGATGTAATTTATTGGAATGTATTTTACAAATTTCTTTTGTGTAAAACCTGCTTGTTGCACCTCAGCTAGGGTTCACCTTGCTCAAGCACTCACCAGGAAGCCAAAAGTAGGGATAAACTGTTTTTTGAAAAAGCACACACTGTAAGAGAGTAAAAAATCCAAATAGGTAAGATAAAAAGAGTCCCAAAAGTCAGATAAATCTCCAATGCAAAGGTTAAAGCATGAACATAAATCCAAGGAGCAGGAAAAATTATGAGCTTGAATAATCCAAAAGACAAGGAATAAAACATCAATTTGAGTAATCCAAGAATCAAAGCACAATACATGGGTTTGTGTTCATGGTAAAATCCCCAAGACTTAAAGCAAAACTTGACCAGGGCATGGCTTGAAGTGAGAACCAAGGCAAGAGTTCCTTGCTCTATCTGCTATGTTGCTTGATGTGAAAACCAAAAGCTATTCTTTTCCTAATTAAGGACAGCAAAGAATGAAAGAATTCCTTCGACTTTGAGTAGTCCCTCTCGGTCTCACTTTCCCATAGCCTGGCTTGCACCTGGAATTCTTCCCCGGCAGAAGCAGCCTTGATTCTCTAACTAACCTCTCTTCCTGCCTGTCAGCTTCTAAAACAGTTTCATTTTCACACAGAGAATCACGCAAATCCCCCTCCGTTCTCCCAACTAGGGAATCACCATCATCTTCTAACATCCCCTGTCTGAACATCACCAGACGCATCAGGCCTTGCAGGCCCTACACCCCCAAACCCCTCATTATCATCCTCAGCTGGCTGAACTATACCAAACCCCTCATCTTCAGCTGGCTGAGCTACGCCACTGCTGTAACCAGAAGGTATTGGTAAGTTTAATATTATATAAGTGCAGATACATTTGTATATCATTTATTTGTGTATTTTAATCTGAAATGTTTTAAAATGTGTCTGTTGATAATGCTAATAATTTCATTTTTTTTGCCCATGGCTTCAGAAGAGGGTTTAAAATACCTCATCAATGATGCTCTGTCTTGTTAAATTGGGGGGGGGGGGGAAGGTGGCAAATGTAACGTATTGGCCTACTGTGCAGGGCTGGTGTGCCAGGGATGGCTGTAAAAAGTTGGTTTTTTTTAAAGGCCAAAAGTCAGGCAGCCATTTTCTTAGCTCAGAGCTGAGGGGGCGGAGTGAACAGGCAGCCATTTTGTGAAGACAGCTGAGGGGGAGGAGCCAGCAGGCAGCCTTTAGGGTATGTGGCGCCACCTGATCGGTCAATAGTCCTGGAGGGAGTCTGCTCAGTGAAGAAAGTGGGCGGAGCTAAGCTGATGCCAGGAGGAAAGGAACCATTTTAAGTCAGTCTGGTTTTCAGAACTGTAAAAAGAAGGAAGGTTTTTGGAGTTTGGGTTAGAAGTGGAAGTTCAGTTTAACTTAAATAGTTACTTCAAGGAAGAACTATAGTTTTAAACAGACCCTGGTGATTGGACTGTTTTAAGAAACTGTTTAGTGAAAGACTAAAAGTTTCTTGGGTTTTAAAGGTTTGACTGGAACCTGAAGTTTTAAGCTTCAAACTACTTTTGAAACCATAATGCTCTGTACCAGTATACTGCAACCATGAAGCTTCTGTGCCTGTTCTAAATAAATAAACAAACATTTTTCTCTGTTTGAAACAAATAAACATCTCTGTGTGCCTCACATACAAGCAACACATATAAAGAGATAGCCTACTGAAGAAATCTTAAATTGGTGGCTGCGAAAACTAAACATCACTTGTAATCCTATAACAGGATAGGGTCGCAGTTAAGGTCCCCTACCCTGCTCAGTCCTTTACATTTTGGGGGCAGCGGTGGGATATCAAAGAATCGTGGGATATCTCAAATAGCTGGTCAGAGAGAAGGGAATTCGTTTCAGTAGGATCACTGAAGTTCTTTCTTTTCATATTTAGGGATTTTCTTAGTGTGAACTTGTTGCATAATTTTGTAAAATATTGGGGAGAACATTTTTGCTAATTGTGTTTAATATGTTAATAAGGCATATTCTATTATTAAACATGAGAATATTTGCAAATATTATTTACATGACTATTTCACTGTTATAGAATCATAGAATTAAAAGACACAGACATATTCATTTTGTACTGGCATTGAACATGTGCCATTTTGGGTTGCTGTGAGTTTTCCGGGATGTATGGTCATGTTCCAGAAGCATTCTCTTCTGACATTTCACCCACATCTATGGCAGGCAATCTAATAGGTGGTGAGGTCTGTTGGAAACTTGGAAATTGGGGTTTATATATCTGTGGAATGTCCAGGGTGGGAGAAAGAACTCTTGTTTGTTTGAGGCATGTGTGAATGTTGCAATTGGCCACTTTGATTAGCATTGAATAACCTTGCAGCTTCAAAGCATGGCTGCTCCCTGCTTGGGGGAATCTTTTGTAGGGAGGTTTGCCATTTCACTTTGGAAGCTGCCCTGAGTCCCCCCGGGGAGAGAGGGCAGGTTAAAAATAAATTATTATTATTATTATTATTAGTCTTTCCACTGTAGAAAATCTTATAAGTTGCTTACCTGTAACTGTAGTTTCCTGAGTAGTCACCTATGAATTTGCACACATGGTATTCCTGCACCTGCGCAGATCAACTTCGGAACCTTCTAGAATTAAAAAGAAGACTTTTATGACATTGCCTGGCCCCGCCCCCCTCCCCCCTCGAGTATATATAGCCCACGCGGGGCCAGGCCCCCTCAGTTCTCTTCCGCCTAGTAGCAGAAGACGGAGGCATGACACTCGAGGGGAGGAAGGGCGGGTTGTGCAAATTCATAGGTGACTACTCAGGAAACTACAGTTACAGGTAAGCAACTTATAATTTCCTGTCGTAGTCAACTATGAATTGCACACATGGTAGACTAGCAAGCTACTAACCCTGGACGGTGGGCGTCATGCCACCACTGAGAACAAAACTGATCTCCCAAACTCTGCTGCTTTCCTGGACATGACATCCATCTTGTAATGCGATACAAAGGAAAACGGCATCGTCCAGATGGCAGCCCTGCAGATGGCATCCAGTGGCACACCTCTCATGAAGGCAACAGACGTCGATACCGCTCGGGTCGAATGGCCTCTAACCTGTTGAGGTAAGTCCTTTCCGGACAGTTTGTAACATAACCGAATAACGGACACCACCCAAGAAGAGAAACGCTGGGACGATACCGGCATTCCCCTTGTGTCTTTACGATACTTAATAAATAATCTTGGCGTTTTCCTAATTACAGAGGTTCTGTCCACATAAAACGCCAGAGCCCTGCGAACATCCAGGCAATGCCAACCCTTTTCTAGAGGCGTTGTAGGGTTTTGAAAAAAGGAAGGCAGAACTATCTCCTGAGACATGTGAAATGTCGTAGACACTTTGGGAAGAAAAGCAATGTCTGTGCGCAATACAACCTTATCTGTGTGAAATTTAAGATAAGGAGGATCAACCCGTAAAGCGCACAATTCACTGACCCTCCGAGCCGACGTTATAGCCACTAAAAAAGCCACTTTCCAGGAAAGATATGATAAATCTATCGTTGCTAACGGCTCAAAAGGAGGTCTCATCAGAACATTCAACACTAATTCCAAACTCCAGGAAGGTGAAACAGGGGTTACGCAGGGCCTAGTATTTGCAATACCCCTTAAAAAGGTCCTAACTACTGGGTCTCCAAAACATGAAGGAAGACCCACTTTTCGCCGAAACCAAGAAATGGCGGCTAAGTAGCACTTCAAAGACGAACCTGAAAGGCCCACATCCAACAACGAAACCAGAAAGTCAAGTATTAATGAAATAGAAGCTTTCTCCGGCGCAACACCCCTTTGCGCCGTAAAACTTTTAAACCTTGTCCACTTATACAAATAAGACCTTTTCGTAGAAGGCCTATGGGCCGCCTCAATAATAGAGCGGACCGGTCCAGATAGATCAGAGAAAACAGTCAATGGTTCGGTAGCACTAACCAGGCCGTCAGTCCGAGCTGATGAACCTCGGGATATAGCACCTGGCCCCCTTGAGACGTCAGCAGGTCTGACCTGTGACGAAACTGAAGAAAGTTGTTCCGTGATAATTGAAGTAGGGGGGCAAACCAAGGCTGGCGAGGCCACCAGGGTGTCACTAGGACGCAATGTGCGTTGTCCCTTCTGATTTTCGCAATCACCCGGAGTAACAGAGGAAAGGGGGGAAACGCATAAACCAGTCTGCCCCCCCAATTGTGGAGGAATGCATCCCCTAGGCAGCCTATCTGCGGTAACGGATGGCAACGGGCGCAAAACAGACCGCACTTGGTGTTCTGAGGAGTCGCAAACAGGTCCACCTCCGGTGTGCCCCAAAGTCTGAACAGGTTGGCCGATACCTCCCCGTTCAGGGACCACTCGTGGTGGGCCATAGGACTCCTGCTCAGCACATCCGCGAGACCGTTGTCTACCCCCGGAAGGTGAGTGACTATGAGATGGATTCTCCTGCTGATGCACCAATTCCATATTTCCAGGCACAGGTCTAACAAGGGACCTGAGTGAGTGCCCCCCTGTTTGTTCAAATAGTACATCACCGTCGTGTTGTCGGTGAGTACCTGGATGACCTTTCCCGATAACACTTTCTCGAAGGACTTCAGACCTTTGTCCACTGCGAGGAGCTCGAGCACGTTTATGTGCATGTCGGCTTCGTTTGTGGACCATACCCCGTGGGCGATCAGACCCTGGGAGTGTGCCCCCCAACCCGAGAGGGACGAGTCTGTAGTCATAGATCTGACAGGGGATGGCGGCTGGAAAGGAAGGCCCTGGCATACCCACCGCTCGTCCATCCACTCCGCAAGAGAGTGTTTGACATTGGGCGGGATGGAAAGCTCGGTGGACGGGTGGTCCCAAAGGGGGTTGAAAACAGAGAGAAACCAAAATTGGAGGGGCCGCATTTTCAGCCGGGCGTAGGGGGTAACTGCCGTGGTCGAGGCCATGTGCCCCAGTAAAACCTGAATTTGTTTCGCTGCGATTCTGGGAGCAACGACAGCATGCCTGACTAACTCCCGCAACTTGATGAAAGGTCTGGAGGAAGGTAAGCCCTCTGGGAAACAGAGTCCAGCAGCGCCCCGATGAACTGAATCCGTCTGGCAGGTGTGAGAGAGGACTTCTCCGGATTGATGACCAGACCCAGGGACTGGAGCAAAGACAAAATGATAGAAACATGGTGTTTTAGTTGCTCAGGTGAGCTGGCAACAATCAGCCAATCATCAATATAGGGGTAAACCGTTACTCCCCTTGTGCGGAGATGGGCCGCAACCACCGACATGCATTTGGTAAAAACCCTGGGCGTTGTCGAAAGGCCGAATGGCAAGGCATTGTAACAATAAGCCTGGTGGCCAATCATGAATGCCAAAAACCTACGGTGTTGCGGAACAATAGAAATATGAAAATAGGCATCCTTTAAGTCTACCGTCGCGAACCAGGTGCCCTGGAATAGCAACGGCATGATCATGGACAAAGTGACCATCCTGAATCTTTTTGGAGCAATATGTTTATTTAGGGATCTGAGATCCATAATGGCCCGGAAGCCCCCACTTCGTTTATTCACCAGAAAATATCGGGAGAAAAAACAGTATTGAAACATAACAGGGTCAACAACAGAAACGGCCCCTTTGGCTAACAGGGCTTGAACTTCCTCTGACAAGGGAGGGGAAGCAGGCGTAGATATCAGCTCCCCTGTAGGAGGTACATCCTCAAATTCAATCCTATAACCATACTTAACGATAGAAAGAACCCATTTATCGGAGGTAATTTGTGCCCAAACCTCGAAAAATGGGGCCAACCTCTCATAGAACGATGGCGAAACCGGGCAACAGGCCCTAGTGAATTCAGCCGGGGAACAGGACGATTGCGAAAACAAGGGACAATCGTCCTCCGGTTGAATCGTTAAAGATCCCGCTCCCGTGTCAAACCCGCTTCTTGGAGGCGGGTTGGGATCTGGGTTTGTTCTGAAAAGACTGGAATTTGGATCTGGCCCCATAGGGAGCTCTCCGGCCATTTTGGAATCTAGAGAAACCCGAATTGCGGTTCCTGTAGGGGCCCGTGTACGAATTTGAGTAGTTTCTGCGGAAGCCAGAGGACTGCTGCTGTTGCCACCTAGGCTTCGGTTGGGAACTTGGCTGCCATGAATAACCAAATTTGCTCGCCGCTTGGCGAACTTCTTGTTTGCTTTTCAGCTTTTCGTCAGTTTCCGGGTTGAAGAGCCCATCCACATGTAGTGGGAGGTCTTCTGCAAGGGCTTTACCCTCTTCCGAGAGGTTGGCCGCCCTAAGCCAAGCATGACGCCTGATCGAGGTGGCGATCGCAAAAAGATTGCCCGCCGCCTCGGCCAAGTCTTTGGCAAAATCCTTCTGGAAGCGCGACAACACAATGGCTTCCTCCTGCAAGGCCTTTGGAAAGCGTTGGCTATCTGGTGGCAAAGAGTCCAAATAAGGCAAGATTTGCGTCCACAAAAATTTTTGATAACCACTCATGTAAGTGGCAAAATGGGACATTCGCGTGAATAATCCCGCTGAGAGGTGAGCCTTCCTTCCCAATGAGTCCACTTTTCTACCCTCCCTATCAGGGGGAGTAGTTAAGGCGCCCTTCTGGCGCTTAGATTTGGCCACTTCGGCCACCACCGTGTTTGGCCTAGGAGGGTTGGACACCCACTTCGCGGAGGTCAGATCAATTTTATAGAGAGAATCTACCCTCCTGGGAACGGCCGCCACTAGAGGGGGGGCTACATCAGACACTCTGGCCAACTTAAGCAGATAAGGGAGAGGAGGCAATGCAGTGGGGGACGCGATGTTCTGCTCGTCAGAGGGGAACATCGGGTCCTCCACATGCTCAGAAGGCTTTGGAGCCGGCAGGTCCAGCGCCTTTATCATCCTGCTGACGAGGGAAGCAAATTTATTGAAATCAGGGGATCTGTCCATAGTCTCGTCCGCGGTCCCCGCAGTTTGGGCCAAATCAGGGGAGTCAGGGGCTGAGTCAGAGTTGTCAGCGTCCTCAAGTCCATATTCAGGTTCTTGTCCCTCTGGATCATCTGGCTGGACACTGGTAAGCTGCAAACCCCCTTTGCACAGCATTGGGAGAGGGGGGGTGTCATGGGTGGAGGGAGGGACGGGGTTTCCTCCCCTACCTGACGACCCATTCGAAGGATGAGCCAAATGAAGAGAGTTCTCCGGCAGTACATTTGAAGGCCCCTGGGGAGGGAGAGGGGCAGCCGGCACTGTCATCCGTTGTACAGGGAGGGGCATGGCTGGTGTCGACGACATCGGGAAAGGCGGCTGTGGCGGTCCCGATGCAGGCACAAACACATACTGCCCCGTTGGCGATAGCTGCCAAAAACCTTGGAAGGGCAAGGCTGGAGGCGCTGGAGCAATCATCCGATGTCCTCTGTGGGAGGAGGAACGGGCCCACCTCGACCGACGCCTCCTCCTAGAGCAGCCAGAGGAGGAGGAGGAGGAGGAAGAAGAAGAAGAGGAGGGCGATCTACGCCGTCGGCGCCTGGATCCCCTGGAGGATCGGGACGGGGAGCGTGCGCGACTCGATCTGCGCGAGCCGCGACGCTGCGGCTCGGAGCGCTGTATCCCTCTCTCTTCGCCCCCGCCCTCATGCTCGGCCGGTACCGAGGGAGGGGAGGCGTGCCGGGGGGCTGCATCTCCAAAGATGGAAGGGGAGGGGCCCGCCATCTGCACTGAGGGCGAAACCACGCCCACTCCCGGAAGAGGAGCCGGCATCGGCAGCAGTAGTTGGTCGCTTGGAGCGCCCTCGACATCGCGCGGGGCCGCCCCTCCTGCTAGCGCTCCGGAATCTCCAGACATCGGAGGGGTAAGGGCAGGCATCGGCACCTGTAGATTCGCCTGCTTCTCGATCTCAAGGGGCGTCGGCGCAGGGGGCGTGGGCGCCGCCTCCTCAGCCAATGTGGGTGGCAACAAGCTCGCCAGGCCGAGAGACTGGGCCGAAGTCGAAGGCTGCTGAGAAGGGAGCTGCGGAACCTCCATAGAGGGCGCTCGCTCTCCGCGCTGCTGAACAGGCGCGAGGCGCGTTGGCGGCGAGTGAAAGGCCTTCACGCTTCCCGCCCTTTTGATAGAGCCCGGGGGCCCCGAAGAAGCCAAGCCGCCATCTTGGAGGGGAGCATCTATTGCCTTTTTGATTTTCTTTTTGGCGGGCCCGCCATGTTGTGGCGGTTTGGAGCCAGGTAAGGTGGTCGGCCTGGCAGCCTGGGCGGGCAAAGCTGGCGGTAGAAGGGCCCTCTCGTACAGCGCCGCCTTCAACCTTGAGACCCTGTTCTTTCGGGTCTGGGGCGTGAAAGCCTGGCAAATTTTGCAGGGTTGGGAAAGATGAGCTTCCCCCAAGCAAGCCAGACATAGCGAGTGCCCGTCCGTGTCCGGGAGTGTATTGGGACACCGGGTGCACTTCTTAAAAGACGTGCACTTCTTAAAAGACATGGTCGCCATTAGCTTAGTGCTAAGGCGATCTATCAGTTAGTCAGTCAAGGAGATGCAAGAGAGAGGTCAGTAAACAGTCCGGGTCAGAGAGTTAGAGCAGAGACGAGAGCCAGTCCGGGTCAAAAACCAAAGTCTACCTATGAGTCGATACGAAGAAGGTTCTCTAGTTGAATCGCTGGGCGGATAAAGAGAACTGAGGGGGCCTGGCCCCGCGTGGGCTATATATACTCGAGAGGGGAGGGGGGAGGGGGGGCGGGGCCAGGCAATGTCATAAAAGTCTTCTTTTTAATTCTAGAAGGTTCCGAAGTTGATCTGCGCAGGCGCAGGAATACCATGTGTGCAATTCATAGTTGACTACGACAGGAAATAACCCATTTTCTCTTTGATACTTGGATGAAAATACTGCTCACCATTGACTATCCAGTGGAGCAACACTTTACCTACAAAGGAGAGGGATAAGATGCTTTGTTTCTGTTTCTGCAACATCCTTTCTGGTACAAACAGGCAGACATACATATATACATACTTTGACTTTTACATATACAGAATATTTATCCATCAATCAATCGACTGAGCAATAGGTAGGATGGAGAAATGTCATGGTTTATAAAGATCTTATTTACTATCTTTAAAAAGTTTGTTTGTGGTGTGTGTATATTTAATATCTTATATAACTATTGGCTGCACAGTTACTGCTAATCTTGAAGAAACATAATAAAAATGATGCCTGGGTAAAAAAGCAGGGATGACATTAAACATGTCATTAGCTGTGTGGTAGAATTTCCTTTAAAACAGCAGCCATTGATTTCCTAATCTGGATTAAGAACATAGTGAGGGGAAGCAGTTTTCTAACCCTCTCCATTATGTTACATTTCCATATACATGCAGCACTTTCCATACCTCTCCTTCAGAGCATTCATGTTGCCTTAGAAAACATTTACCCAAAAATAAAACTGGATTATTTAAAATGCTTTTTAAAATTTCAGAATAACAGTAAAGAATTATGGAAACACAAGATGAAATTGCTATTGTGGGAATTGGATGTAATTTTCCTGGAGGTATGTATTGTTTACAATGCTAAGTGAAATATTATTGTTTGCTTGTAACCTTTTTATTGCTGAGAAATACAACTTGGACTTTAAAACTTTGAAAATAGGTATATATTTGGTATATTTTTATTGGTATATTTATTTTATTTTTATGCATGGTTGTACTAAATATGGCTGTATCTACACTGCCATATAATCCTGTTCAAAGTAGGTAATCTGGATTCAGAAGCTGGGTTATATGGAAGTATAGATGGGACTTATGACCAAATTAACTGCCATGATAATCTTCGGATTTGGACAATTTAGATCTTTGAGCCTTTATAATACTCGTTATTATGCCTTGGATAACTTATGTTTCATGAGGAATTATTCTATATATGTCATAAAAAGTAATACTTTTGATATGGAATTTAGACCAAATAAAATGAGAAGGAATGGCCTGGTGAGCTACGCCAACCATAATTAACAACCAACGTTCCAGATTAAAAACTCACCAGTGAAGCTAAGACAAAGGACA